CACACACACACACACAACTACAACAGTGATCACATGCTCTTATCAGTACATTTCTTTGTTGTGATACGTAGCCCTCTCCTATTATCCTCGGCCTGAGGGGATTTGACCTCTTGAACTCATAAACCCAGGGGCTTTCCAGCGGACTGGATGAACACGCAGTCTGGTGTGTGTGTGTGTGTGTGTGTGTGTGTGTGTGTGGTGTGTGTGTCCTCTCTATTGTGTGTGAATGAAAGGCGTGAGGTTTCCAATCTCACGGCTTGCTGTTGGCGTGGAAGACAGAAAGCGGAAGGGCTTATTTCCTCGTATTACCCGACTGGACCCCCTTCCTTCCCTCCTGTCCTCTTTTTCTGTCTGTCTCTCAATCCTTCATCTTTTTATCCTCTTATTTGTCTCTTTTTGATACTTTTCTTCGATTTCTTGTCATCCCTGGGTTTGGGGACACAGTCGGAGCTCTTTTTTCCCCTTTCTTCCCCCATCTGTATTATTATTTCTATTTTTCAGTGTTCCCTCCATCTTTGTTTATCTCTATTTCCCCTTTCAGCACTTTCTTTTCTCAGCCGAAAGCCGACGACTCCATTGCTCTTGCTCTCTTCTATCTATCTCCCTTTCTTCTCTGCCTCTCTCTGATTTCCAATCGCGGTTCATTAGGTTCAGTGGATTGGCTTTCTTCCTGCAGCACACGCCTCTGCCACCCAAGCTGATTGGCTTTCATTATGGACAAGGGTGGTCCACACACGCGACCGCGCACACACAAACACACACTCTCTGTGCTCTATTCCACTGAGGACCCACTCCAATACCCACCGCTATCTGTCTCCCCTCTCTGGCTTCCATCTCCATCTCTGGCCAACCTCCATTTCAATCCGTTTTTTTTTTTTTTTTTTCATTTTTTTTTTTTTCATCTTTTTTTGTGGTATCTCTGCTTCTATTCATCCCATCCCTCTCCAAAGTGCTCGAGGTTGAAACAAGGTAGTTAGCCAAGCTCTGTGTGAGTGTTAGTGGGTGGGTGTACATGTGTAAGAGATGGTAGCAGCTCTGCACACATACAGGACCTCAGATGCTGACCCTGTCTACACATTTTTGTATATAAAGAGCTTTTTTTTTTTTTTTTTCCTCTGGAGAGTTTCCCACATGTCAGTCTTTACGGTCACATGTGTCTGAGCTTCAGCCTCACCACAGGGCATGTTAGCTTTTATTAAACACCACTTGACAGAAAGAGGTGGACTGCTTTTTATTGACCCTGGATGCCTTAGCAAATAGTCTGTTGACTCAGAGCTTCCACTCGCACAGAGGAATCCTCACACGCACCGCCTGGCCCTGCCGAGATGAATAGTCGAGTCACTGACACTATAGCTGTACCGAATTTTCTCATTAAAGGGAGGTGGATTTGATCCAAAGGTTCCTAGAATAATGAATCAGTTCATTCTGTCCCACAAGTGCCTGAAAGCACCAGAAAGAAGCGTTTTCAGTCTCATTTGCATTGCGACTGTAATATAACTTTGACAAAGGTAAGACAAAAAAAAAACACTGTAATAGATAACTTGTTCAAGCAAGTCTGACAGTAAGTCTCTGCAAGTAGATTTTTTTCACGAGCAAGAGCAATAATGGAAACTAATGCATTTTTCAGTCCAAAAAGCCTGCTTTGGAAAATGCTCTGTATGGATTGGCCTTAAGATGCTCAAAGTGCATTGAAATGTCAGACCTTTTAGGAGACATGGGGCCTACGGGCTACACTTTGCAATCGAACTTATTTGATTTAAATTTAACTGAGGCTCTCTAAAGCATAAGTGGAGTCATTAACCGTGTTTCCATCAACCTATTTTTATGCGCATTTTGAATTATCGCATGAGAAAGGTTTGATGGAAATTGCAAAGTTTGAAAAAACTTCGCCAAAAGGTTTTTACTCCTGCTTTTCAAGTGTTTTTTATTAATGCATTAATGCATTCCATAGGAGATGGAAACACTTTTTGGATAAGTTTCCGACATAGCAAACATGATTGTTTCGGCTCTCCGTCTCCTTATCGCGCCTTATAATACATGCATGATCATTCCACACAGATCTATAACTTAACCTATCTATAACCTTCATCACATTAATACATGAAACAGAACAAACAAACAGAAATTTCATATTTCCATGCTGTTTCACGCCATCTTGTTGCGTCCTCTACTTCTGGTTTTCTGACTGGAGAATTGGTACAACAGTAGATGGAAACAAGCATTAATTTGCATTTTCTTTAGACAATGTAAAAAAGGTCTTCAACTGCTCAATCTGTCAAGTTTCACCAGTTCTGGTCGGTTTGGCGCCACCCATGGTGCAGAACAGACGAAAACAAAGTCCTCCACATCTGTTTCATGAGACAGGTGTGTAGGAGTGGGATGAGTAGATCCAAAAAGTTGCAAAAGATAAATTGACTTGCAGCTGACATCTGTGGTTACCATGGTAACAGCAAACACTTGTTGAGCTGCTTCTTTGTCAGGAATACAACAGGGGAGCAGCTGGTGTATCTGATTACAGTATAACCAAACAAACATATGAAGTCAGTCAGTAATAATTACAGATTTTATTTTCTTCTTTTCCACATCAACAGCACAGTCAGTTTGGTTGCCTTGCTTCCATTTCTCTGTCGCACATGTTAAACATAAGCCACTGAGACAAAAAAAACTACTGTGAATCTGGACTGGAATGGCTCTTTTTCCTTTTACAGGTCTTTTTTCGCATTCCTCTTTAGCTTTTTCTCACCCTCCCTTTTATTGAGTCCTCTTTTTGTCTTTGATGCTCCCCGTCTTTGTGTCCTACACTTTTTCTCTTGTTACTCCTCTCTTTCTTTGTCAGTTTTTTTTATACCGTCTCACTCTTTCCTGAGGTACCTCACTTCCAAACACATGATATGGCGTGCTGCTGCAGGTTTGTCTGAATGCACTTACATTTTGTCTTTATATTACCCAGTAATAGAGGACACATATATAAGACTATAAGATAGCTGGCTGGAGGTTAAAAGAGGGTTTCTACAGTTGTATCCTTCCACTGTGGCAGGAGGAGACAAATTTGGCTGCTGGCCATGCAGACTTTTATCTTTCCTCCACAGAAAAGGAAGCGTTTCATTATCAGGCAGGGTCACGTCGCCTGGAAAAGTTTTTTTTCCAAACTTTGAAAGTATAAAATGTTCATTTTATCTGTCACGTGTGCAGAAGAAAGCTATTTCTGTTTCTTTGTCTCGGACGCCGCAGATGTTTCTTTCCGGGATTTTATGAAGCAGACTTTTTTTGATTTCAGTTTTGTTCTCGTGTTTTTTTAAACCTCTGATTCTCTGACACACCCTATCACCCTGCATCTGTCACTCCCTCCTCCCTCGCCTCGCTGTTTATCACTTTTTCAGTCTACTCTCTGTGCCCTCAATATTCTTGCGTCCTCTTATTTTCTCTTCCCCTCACCCGTCCGTCCGCTGGGAAAATTGACCTCATAAAAAATGAAAAGGATTATTTAAGAGAAATAGCAGTGTAATGAAAACCTATTATTGTATCCCATGGTGCACCGCCTGTGGCGGCTGCTGCTGGCCGACCGCAATCCTGTTTAGTTAGATTAGGTGGTGGTGGGTGAGGGTGTCTTCTTGTTTTCTTTCCCTCCCTTTATTATTTCTCTCATTGTCTCACCTCTATCTGTTGTCATTTTCTCTCGCAACCACAATATCCCCCTTTCTTCTGGTTTTCTTGTTTCTTTTTCATTTCCTCTTTCAGTCGGTCTCATTTTGTCCCTCACTCGTCCTCCTCTGTCTGATCCTTCTGCATGGAGTCATGTGCCAGCACCAGAAGAAACCATTATAACCATTTCCAAAGCTTCTCCGTATTCCCAGAACATTACAAGCTATTCACTGTGTGATTGAGTCTGTTTTTTTGTGTTCTAGTGGCTGACGAGAGCAACATGGGATCCCTGGCCGGGCAGAGGACTGGTGAGTGTTTGATATAATCTAAACATACATGCTCTCTGAGAAAAACACTCCTCCTTTGTTCTTGAACCACCGATCTCTCTCCCTTGTCACCTCGCACGGTGTAACAGTGCAGTAACAAGAGTCCATCCGCACACACACATAAACTAACCTTCTGTGTGAAGATTCTCATTTCCCTTTTCTCATCCCAAACATTTCCTTTTTCCCCGCTCTCCTTTGCCTTCCCCTCCCTTTCCCTCCCCAGCTGACAAAGTTGAGTTGTGAAGCACTTAGTGTCTGAGCTCTCGCTGCTTTATGGCCGTCCAGGTCAGCAGGCCCACAGTGCTCAATCCTCACCCGGCTGACAGCAGCCGCATTGCATTACAATGGCTCCTGCCTCAGTTATTTGTCCGCACTCAGTTCCGCCTCGTTTTATTTGAGGAAAGTCTGGTTGAAGGTATAATATAAAGTCAGTTTCCCTTTTACTGACTGACATTACACAATAGTGGTTCAAACTATATCTAACTCGCGGTAATTTACATTTCTGACTGCAGAAACAGCTGTTCATGTGGAATTACCACTGACTAAAGCCCCTTTCAGACATGTACCTCGTTATGCAAATCTGATGCCAGTTTAACACGTCAGTCTCATGTCCCGAGTCACTTTTACATAAAAGTCCTGACGGCAATCTGAGTAGGTCCTTACATCTTCGCAAAAAAACTCTGAACAAGTGTGAACTACATGCCATCAGGAAATGACAGATTAGATCCAAGAGCACCGTAATAAAGTTATCACTTCATTATCACCTGTAATGCACAAAGAAAAAGAAAAGAAGCTAAATAAACCACAAAACACAGTGAATTTTAAGTGAGATTCTTCATGTCAGATCAGTCTATGAAACCCTCATGGTGCTACCGGGGCAGAATAATAATAAGTATAATAATAAGCAGAATCCTAATAATCATCAATATCCGGCTTCACATACATGTGAGCACACAGGAATTAAATGAGAATGCCATGCTTGTCAGACATGTTTAAACAGGCATCAGATTGTAATATCTAATAATATTAAATGATGAAATTGATTATTAGGGGATTCATCACTTTCTTTCACCGCTGTTCTCCAGCATTGCTCCCTTTTATGCGCCAGGGGCAAAATATCATGCAAAAATTGGGGCTCTTTCCGTAAAATTCCTGCCTGAATAAAGCTGTATGGAATATGTTTTGGTTTAAAATAAGTGCTATCCCAGACCCTCTACATTTTCTGCCATTCGTTCCCAAATAGACCTTTTTCTTTTTTTGGAAATAGTAGGGTAAACACAGGCACCAATGATACTAATTTAGTTTGGTTTGATTCAGATCAAACCTTGTTAGGGTGCTACACTAAATGGAACAGAGCCTTAATTCATATCATAACACCTGTTTTTACCCTACTGTTTCATGTCAAAATGGCTGCTGTAAAAAAGGTCTGTCGGGACCCAAAGCATCCGTATTTGGCGACCTGGAAAAGAGACTCAACAACCAACTATATTCTCCAGAATCACGTACTGCACCTGTAACAGATAAATAAACAACAATGTTTATATATTTTATGTCTGAAAGGGGCTTAAAGGTGTGTCCACTTCCTAAATTCAGACTCCAGAAATAGAAGATTAAAAGAAAAAGACATCACGGTGGAACCCACACCGGTGCATAAACACTACAGCAAAGAGAGCTTAGCACCAAAGTTGGTGAAAAAATATCACAACTTTAGTTTTTAGTTGCCTTTTTATCACATGTACCCTCACTCAATGGAATGTCTTGTTTTCCAGATTTGATATATCGTGATTGGCAGTATGTTTTTTTTTTTTTTTTTTTTTTTACTAATGCTGTGAAAAAATGTGCTATAGCAAAAAAATAAAAAATTGACAGAAATATAACCAAGCACTGCTGACAACATCTAAAAGATAAAGAGAGCAAACAGTGGTTGCAAAGTTAGTGGCTTGTACACTGCAGTTCCAGGGCTGAGTGCTGAACGCAGGGACAGTTTGTGCTGTGATAGGGAAGCAGTGAATTTCCACTGAGTCAGATATAGCTGCTCCAGCACCGGCATTGAATACTGTATGTGCTTGTTCTGGGCATCTCCAGCATGAATATAAATCAGAGTGTTACTGACAGGGGAGCGCACATGCTCAGTTAACCGCCTTGAAGCTGGGCTGCACAAGTCATGATTTTAATTGTGGAGTTGAGCAATGTAGATATACACCGCATCTCATTTTAATATGGCTTTGGGGCGCGTATAAGGGAAGAATCAAGAGCAGCAGTTTAGTTCTGATGCTGGGAGACAGGCCTTCCCGCTTGTGTGTCTCCGTTACACACACACACACACACACCGATCTCCTAAATCCACCTGCAAGAGCCAAGTAAGCCTGTTGCTGGTGGAATACAAATGGACCCGAGCACCGCTGCTGACCTCAAATCCCCCACACTCAGCATTCCCACAAGTGGCTTTCGCTTTCTCCCCCTCCTCCCACTCCTCCCCTCTCCTCTCCCGCTATGATTTTCCTGGAATTTCTGATCAGCGCCCATAACCCTTATGGCCCATGATAAATAAAGCGATCCATTTCTCCGCCGCAGCATTCCCCTTTCTTCTCCATGTTTTTCTTTTTTCATCCCCCCCTCCCCGTTGACGTCTTGGCTAATGCGTATTGACAGGGCTTTTGCGTGTTTTTCATTTTTTGCTGACGCAGGGTATTTGCCTAGCTTCCTGTGCTATACCCCCCCCCCTCCCCACCTCCCAT